TAAATAAGACAACACTTATGTTTAAAAAACAATGTTGTATTTCCTTGAACTATTATATATAGCAATTTTTGTAAACAGAATTTGTTCAATCAAAAATCAATAATGATCAAGTATTTGTTAAACAAAAAAAATTGTCAAATTGGCTTTAATTGTTAAGTAAAAAAAATTCATGGTGTCTTGGTACTTAAATGGCTTCGTGGTGCCGAGAAATATATCCCTTGCATGATTAAAATCTTCACTTATCAAGGTTTATGAACAATTTCCAAAACAGTAAAATTAATAAACGTAATAAAAAGAAATCATTTCAAGATTTTTTTCAATACACCCGAACAATTATAAACAAATTGTTTGTGACTATGTGTCTTATAAAATTTGTGACTTTCTGTCTTATGACTTTTTGTCCTGTTACTTTCTGTCCGCTTACCTGATGTTCACATTGCATTATGTACATCAAAATTACTACAACTTTTGACCATTATTCAAAAATTTTAGATGGTATTCAAATTTTTTGGAATGTTTTAAATTTTAAAACTTACATCTTCTTTTTGTAACACCAAGAATTTAATATTATAGATCTTTCATAGCAATCCTTGATTACCTTTGAAAAAAGAAAGTGTGTTTCTAAGTTGCATTAAAAATGTAGGTTGGTTAATTAAGTTTTGTCAAAATTAAAGACATGGCATACAAGAGGAACCTTAATAAGATTTCATTATCTCAGTACAGGTGTGTTTTACAGGTAAAAAGAAAATCCTATTTTTCTTTAAACTCGTGTATCAATTTTTTAGTGATTTCAAAATGCCTTGTGATTTAAGTTTTACAGGATGTTGACCAGGTGTGCTATTTTTAATGAGTGTGTCCCTAGCAATAGGTAATACTTTATAATTTCCCCTGATCAGAAGAACAATTGTAAATAATTTCTTTAATTTTTTTATCCCTTTTAGATATATGTATAAATATGCCAAATTATAATAAAAATAGATTTATTTTTGATATAAGGTTAAACAATTTCAATGATTTTTTTGGATGCTGTTACATCAGTTAAAAAGATAGTTATATAACTAACTATTGTATTTTATCGTGAAACCTATTTAGTTTTATTGAAGTATTTAGGTTAATTAAGTTTGGTTAAAAAAAAAAACAAATGGCAATCAAGATGCAACTTAATCAGGTTTTATTACCCTCAGTACAAATGTGTTTTTCAGGTAAAAAGAAAACCTTTTTTAACCAAGATTCGAACTTTAAAATTAGAGAATTTGACTATCTCGTTTTGATAAATCTAATAATCATGTAAGGATGGAAAAATCTGTGAATAGATCTTTATTGTTGCTGTTGTCATGTCAATTAAAAAGATTGTTATATAAAAATTTAAAATTAAAAGAGTAGAGGTTATTTGGTATAGTGTAATTCAGACCTTTGGTCGAGTATGATTCAGACTGAAAAAATAGGTCGAGCAATAGTCGAGTAAAGGTCGAGTACAGGTCGAGAATGGGTTAAGACTGTCTCAGACTGGTCAAGTAATATCTCAGACTTTTTTTTAATGGCAAAGATAAGTGTCAAGTACAAATCAGTACAGTCGATTATGGTTAAGATTAGGGTCGAGTAATATCGAGTTAAATTCAGACCTATTCAGATTGGTCGAGTACGAATCAGTACAGTCGAGTACAGATATAGGCCATTTCAGACTTTTACTGGTTTGCAGTGCAATATAATGGAATTTTATGGGACTGTCATACAAGTGAGAGGTTTAGCTAGCTATAAAACCAGATTTAATCCACCATTTTCTACATAAGGAAAGAAATATGATAGTTGTTTTCCATTCGTTTAATGTGTTTGAGCTTTTGACTTTGCCATTTGAAAAGGGACTTTCCGGTTTGGAAGGTTTAATGAGAATGACATTTTAATGGTACCGATTTTACTGCAACGGATGGGAATGTGACAATAAATATGATGCTGGAGCCAATAAATTTGAAAACCAAAATTTATACAAACGTGGAAAAGCTGATCAAACCAGACAAAATACCTGAAGAAGTTATACAATGTCTGAAAAATCTGTTCCTTTTGAGAGGAAGTCACTGAATTGTGCATATTGTTAGAAAAACGGTCATGTGATGGTTGATAGTTTTAGACTCCAGAGAAAGGAAGACTTGCCTTAAGATCTTTAAACATTTCTTAAGGTTGTTGGGAAGCCAAGCCAGAAAATACCACCAGCATCACATGCACTTCTACTAATTCCTGCCTTTGAAGAACCTTTCAGTCGAGTACTAATTGATTGCGTTGGACCTTTAAAGAAGACCAAGACTGGAAATGCGTATTTATTGACGATCAGGTGTACATCCACTCGCTTTCCAGAGGCTATTCCGTTAAGGAATATTAAGACACCAGCTATTGTCAAATCTCAAATTTTTCACGTTAGTAGGACTTCATAAGTCTGTACAGTCCGACCAGGGTTCAAATTTCATATAAGGTTTATTTCAGCAGGTCGTTTACCAGTTAAGAATTGCTTAGTATACGTCAAGAGCTTATCATTCAGAATCTCAAGGTGACTTAGAGTGTTTTCATCAAACATTTAAGAACATGATAAGGGCTCTTTGTCTTCAATTTCTACTTTTTGCGGTTCGATAGGCTGTTCTCTTGGTATTAACCTATTCGAGTTGGTGTCTGGTCATACTGTAAGGGGACCTTCGAAAATTGGTTAAGGACAATGGCTTACCGAACACCATGACTTGAATCTTCTAAACTATGTATCTTGATTTAAAGAAAAGATGTATACTGCTTGTCACATTGCACAGAAAATTTTAAAAATATGTACAGAATAAGATGAAAATATGGTATGATAAAGATGCCAGGGACAGAGTTTTTGAGCCTGAGATAAAGTACTTGTATTTTTGCCAGTCCCTGACTATCCCTTACAGGCTAAATACTGTGGTCCTTATGCCATAGAGAGTAAAATCAATGATTAAATGATTTGAATAATATTGTAAATACTACAGGTAGGCGTAAACAAAATAGAGTGTGTCATATTAATATGTTAAAACCATATCTTGAACGTACTCATGAAGGTGAGAGTAAACTAGTTGCCACTTTAGCCATTGTTAAATTGCAGAACGATCATGACAAGCAAGATACAATTGAACCAACTTTTGATTCTATGATTTTGGAACAAACAATTAAATTGAAAAAATTAAGAAATTTTGTCAAATTTAGACTCTAAACTTGCACGTCTGACTTTAGATCGCAAAGAAAAAGTGAAAACTTTGGTATTGTCTTTTTAAAATCTTTTCCCAGATGTGCCAAACAAAATCACTGCTGCTTGTCATGATGCCGATGTAGGTGATGCTTCTCCAATTAAGCAACATCCTTACCGACTCAATCCACTAAAACTTGAATTTATGAGATAAGAAATTAGATATATGCTTGACAATGATATTATTGAGCCGAGTAACAGTGAATGTAGCTCTCCTTGTCTCCTTGTGCATAAACCAGATAAAACCATTCGTTTCGTAACTGATTTCAGAAAAGTTAATTCAGTTGCAAAATCTGATTCCTATCCGATTCCCAGGATAGACGACTGCATTGATAACATTGGGCAAGCAAAATTTGTGAGCAATTGAAAGGTTACTTGTAGGTGCCCTGGACACCAAGAGCTCGTCTAATATCAACTTTTGTCAATCCAGACGGCTTATTTCAGTATACTGTCATGCCGTTTGGTATGAAAAGTGCTCCAGCTACTTTTTAAAGAATGATCAATAATGTTATAAAAGATTTAGACTGTTGTTATGGTTATATTGATTGATTTGACTGTTGTTCAACCATGGACTCTTTTACAGAAATATTCTAAATTGATCTGGAGTGATAAATGTCAAAACGCTTTTAAGAATAGCAAATCTCTTTATATAACAGTCGGTTCTGAATGCTCTAGACTTTGAAAAACAATTCAAACTTGCCGTTGACGCAAGTGATGTAGGAGTAGGAGCCGTTTTATATCAAGAGACAGATGGCAATGTTGAGAAACCCATTTCATATTAAGAAATAAGATAAAAATCAGAAAAATTATTCAACTTTTGAAAACGAGTGTTTGGCACTGTTGTCTGCACTTCAGCATTTTGATGTACGTTTTAAAAATCCCATTATGCATCTTTTCTTGTTTATACTGATCATAATCTACTCATCTTTATACAAAAAATGAGAAACAAGAACCAGAGGTTGACTAGGTGGAGTTTATTGTTAAAGGAATATGATGTTATTATAAAACACATTAAAGGTAAAGATAAAGTAATAGCAGATGTTTTATCTAGATCTTATTGATAACAGAGAATATTTATACCTTTTTGTATATATTGTTCCTGAAAATCATAGTTACTGATGGAATGATTAGACCTTTCTACTTGACTTACGTAATAATTCCAGAATAATCATTAACTACGATGCGTAATTGACACTTCTACAGTGTTCTAGAAGTTTCCGTTGTAACTATATATATAGACGATGAATTGTACTAAGATTCAGAAATATAGAATTATTACAAGAAGATCTCTGGAGTTGTTGGATTGACACTTTTATTCACGTTAATAACATATACATATTCCGTTGTATTCCGTTACAGTTAGAAAAGAATTCCACAGAAAACAAGACTATAGGAGCGGACATTCACATATTTTAACAATTAAGATGACATTTATACTTGTAAAATATTTCTTGTAAAATTGAATAATCAATCTTGTTAAATTTATCATTGATTTTTGTCTTTTGTTGGCTACAATGTACAATTTAAAGGTGATTACTGGCCGTAAAAACTGGAAATCATATACCCCATATGTAGGCTTTGCTGTCATTTTGCTAAATAAAACCGGAAAATTCACATTTGGGAAGCTAAAATCATCCAATTTGACGTAAAGTTTTGTTCTCAGTATATTGTTTTAGTCTTAATTACATCTTATCAAGACATACGGCGGAGATGATAAATCTGTGTATTTGACAGTAGAAATATTACAACAAAACACTTCAACATTTAGATACTTTTATTGTCATTTAAAGGTACTTGGTACTCCGCACCCTACAAAAAAATATGAAAAATATTAGTTAACTGTTATTCTTTTGTAATTTTTTGTGCACATGTTTTTCTTGCTTAAATTGTGTATGCTTACATTCTTAATATTAGAAATTGAGAGTGCTGGAAGAAGTTTATCATAAAACCCTTCATCAAGTACGCTCACAATATTACTAGTTACTATAACTACTGTAGCTGAGAATGCACTTTACTGATACTTAAAACTCATACAAGATTCCAGCATATAACTTAGGTCGCCAGACTCGCATTTTATCTTCTTTATACTCATTAGTGGCGCTCAAATCAAAACCAAATCGATTACAAACCTAACCTGTATTGAAAAGCTAATGACATTAATGATTTAGGTATATTTCAGTTAATACGTTACGCTTGTGGAAGTTCACAATATACTGAATGCATTAACATGTTGCCTTCATAGAATAACCGTAGTCTTACGAATGGTTTTAACGTAATATAAAAAGAAATTTTACAGAAAAGGAACATATCGAAGCTATTTCACGTCGATCTGGACTGTATATACCCATGTTAACGGAATATCCACCAGCATTGGAATCGACCCGGTGATATATATTAGGTATATTAGAGACAACAATAATTTACCGATGTAAAAGAGGGGCGAAAGATACCAGAGGGACATTCAAACTCATAAGTCGAAAAAAAGCTGACAACGCCATGGCTAAAAAAGAAAAAGACCAACAGACAAACAGACAAACAATAGTACATAAAACACAACATAGAACACTAAAGACTGAGCAACACGAACCCCACCAAAAACTGGGGGTGATCTCAGGTGCTGCAGAAGGGTAAGCAGATCCAGCTGCAAATGTGTCACCCGTCGTGTTGCTCATGTTAGTACAAACCCGGTAATAAGTCTAATTCGGAAGGTCACAATCGAAAAAAGTGGACGGATTGTACATTATGAACATATCCGCTATCATCTGTAAAACAGATATTCCGTAACGGTCAACCAACTCGTGATGGCGTCCGTAAAACTTACGAAGGGATGACTTCAACTTCACCACTTGGAACTCTTTGTTTAATAGCTTTCTTGTGAGCAGCAACCCTCTATCAAAGAAATTATGATAGGAAATACAAGCCCTGGAATATCGTATCAACTGGGAGATATATACTCCGTATGCAGGCGCTGCTGGCACGTTGCTACATAGAAATGGAAAGTTCACGATTGGGAAGATGAAATCATCTTTTTTGTCGTACAGTTTTGTTTTCAACCGACCCTTATTGTCAATTTCTAGATGTAAGTCAAGATATGAGGCAGACCTTTCTGTATCTGTTGTATCCTTTATCTCAAGTTCGATGGGATAGATGTGTTCAACATATTCAACAAATTTTGAATTATTTATTGAGAGAACATTATCTATATAGCAAAAAGTTAAGTTAAAGGATACTGCTAACTTCTTTTCTTTCTTCTTAAGTAGTTCCTATATAAATCGGTGGAATCCATCATATAATGAAATGAAACAAAAACACTAAGATGCTACAAATAATAAATTGACATATTTTGTCTTAAACAGTTACAACGAAAACCAAACATGGGTTACCAAAACTAGATGGAGTTTATTCTGTTTTGATTTTGTCAAGAACTGTTTTAATATTGTTCATGGAATACCTCTTATCAATCCAACAGAAAAACAACTAATTAAAGCAAGCAGTTTCACCTGAGTATTGCTGATTTCAATATATGTCATCTTAATTTTATACCATATAATATGTATTGAATTGAAACTACTTTAATTAACAATTTCAACATGAAAAAAAATAGTTTTTGTAAAATTGTTATGTCATTCTCATTAAGTGCTTGGCATCTCTCTCATTGTATACGGTGTACAGTGATCATGTCATTTTCGTTTTTTAAAAGAAAACAAAACAATAGTAAATATTGAAATAAATCACTCCTGCGGTAAAAATTGTATTCTGATGAAATGCAATACTGCTTCGAAAAGACATTCCTATAAAACTACAAAATAAATGGGACAAGATAAGGAATAAAATCTTTATCTAAACGTAAAAGGTTAACAGTATAAATATCAAATTACCTTGATTATCGTAGTTTTTTCTTAGTAAAGATCATTAGAGACTGCATTTTTCACAACCGCTGTCACAGAACCGTCATTGTAGTCATAACCTGTTTTTAAGAGAAAGCAATGGCTAATTTTTTTGTAAGGAAGTATCTTACATTATTGCCGTTACGGATGTCTCCTAACATTTGGTGCGATTAAATAATAAACACCAGTATACGCTTACTTTCTAAATAAATTCTTAATAATTTGATTTTTGTGAGAGAAAGACAAGATATATTATATGATTTATAACTGGTTGTCTTTGGGTGTTGTAAACAATCAATTTGATTTATTACAAATGACCATTTGTTGTAAAATTTGATAACTTTCAATTTCGAGGCGACACAGATATTGCCATTCTTATACCAAAATGTTTTATCTATTTGACCCCCAACAAATAGAATATATTCACATTAGAACCTTCACATTGAAATTTGTATTATGTGAATAAAGTAACAAGTTGTCAAGAAGAGTCCTACAAATTCAGAAAAATCGTTGCTTGAATTAGACTGGTTGTTTCATAAATTATGATTTATTCTTTCCTAAACCAAGATATATGTATCGATTGTTGGTTATTCTTTTTTTATGATACAACAATCTTTCAATCTGTCTTTTAGTTTTGAATGAAGAATACCGGTGTACAGGACTGACAATATAATATAGCAAGAGAAAGGAGACTTAGATTGTATATTTTCAGATCTTTTGAAATAATGTCATTCATTTAAGGATTTGATAGCATATAACTTTATTACAAATGACTAAATGTTCTTACAAATCACATCTTGTTATCTTTGCAACATCATAATTGTCATTCTTGTAACTAAATACTAATATAATACGATATTCTCATTTAATTGACAAAAAATTAACGTTTGGATTTGATATCTTCGTGTTTTACCATACAAGAAATAACTTATCATATAAAGTCTTAACAACGGACTATTATTGTCATCTCTTTTTTATATTAATGTTGATTCAGTGAAAGTACCAATAACTCTTTTTAGGTTATAAAAATGGCAAATTTTAGTTTCAAGAACACAAAAAATAATTACCTCCGGGGTAAGCAACAAAGAGATTTTGCGTCCTCAGTCTATCAAAACAGACCTTTCTGCTATGATAAGAATTCCAGCAATTACCCCATAAGTTGTAAAATCGCTGAAGTCCACATCTTAATGTGTAAGCTGTAAATATGTAAATACATTGCATGATATTTTCATTACAATTATCAGTAAAATTAAGCATATATTAGGAACTTTGCTTTAAAATCGAATTAAAAATAAAATTTACTTATCTGCTAGATACAATTTATACATTACATAATGATTTATTTCTATCAGATTACGATGAAAATGAAAAATAACGGGTATTTTCCTGTAATTCGAGAAATGTTATTTGTGTATACACTTTTTACTCTACTTCTTGAAAGGTGAAATTTGAACCTCACATTTAGCTTTAAATTTTGGTTTTACTGTATAGTGTATGTGATCCGTGTAAACTCATCGAACCTTCAAACAAACTTATTAGTAAAGGTTATCGTACCAATGTTGTAATTAGATCTTTGAATATAGTTTACATTGGCACAAATATCGATTTTGTCATCAGCAAATAAAAACATAACTAAATTTGTATTCTTTTCAAACGGTTTTTTGGGATGTATTAATACACATCCATTTTGACTGTCCATGACGTTAAAACACTAAATCCCTGGGATGTGTTCTAGTTGATTTTAGTCTCTGAAGCATGATTTTTTATTATTATTTGTTTTTGGCTTTTAATTAGCTTTCAGTAACTGCGAGTACTCTCAAATTTGACCTGTTGAAACAATTTGTAATGTACTTTTGTTATTTAATGTTTACTTATTTAGTGTTATATCTAGTCTCACTATTTTTAATATATACCACCTTTGATAACTGTTTAGTATGACGATAAATTTTCACTTTTGTTCTAGTACTAGGAACAGCAAAATTATTTATTTTGTAAAAATTATTTCCGTACTCCATGTATACCTTACAACAAAATTATTTTCATTTATCTGTGTACGTTATTTTATTTGGCGGCATTTTGTCCAAGGTTATGGTTGTCTTTCTGATATTGTTTAACATCTAACCCCCTTGTTTTACTAATTTTGTATTAACATTGTGTCATAGATCAAATTTATTCGTTCAGTGTATGTTCACTTATTTTTGTTAATATGTCTTTTGATTGAGTTAAGCCATTTCAATTGATATTCTATAGTGTGTATGTCTATGTTATGATGTTACACTATTATTTCAGGAAGGGTGAAGGTTGGTGCCTATTAAAACGTTTAAATCCGCTGCATTTGTTTGCACCTGTCCTTAGTCAGGAACCTGATGTTAAGTGGTTGTCGTTTGTTGATGTGGTTCATAATTGTTTCTCGTTTCTCGTTTTTTATATAGATTAGACAGTTGGTTTTCCAGTTTAAATAGTTTTACACTAGTCATTTTTGGGGCCCTATATCTAGTCTCACTATTTTTAATATATACCACCTTTGATAAGTGTTAAGTATGTCAATACATTTTCACATTTATTTTTGTTGTTTGAGCTATATACGTGTTGAAGGCCGTACTTTGACCTATAATGATTTACTTTTACAAATTGTGACTTGGAGGAAGAAATGTCATTGGCACTCATACCACATCTTCTTATATCTATCAGTTTACTTCACCCTTTAATATTTCATAATTAAATTTATATTTCAATATAAAAGCAATAACATGGATGGATACACTAAATTTAATATGCATGATATTGTTCCTTAACAAGATGATCATCAAATGTAAATTGGCTCACCTGTACCACCGTATGAAAATCTGTTATCACTGATTTTGAATCCATGGAATTTGTTGCAGTAATCCAAATAACTTACAACGGACCCTACCCCGATATCGTAATCGTCACCATAGACTGCACCATCATAGTCGTAATCTGTTATTAAGTATACAGTTAACATTTGTATGTATATCCAATTCTGTTTTCTTTATATGTATGGATTTCTAATGACACATGTGTTTTTTTTAAATTCGTCAAACCTAAGCGATTGAAAAATAAATCGATATCGATATTTTTTAAACATACAGATGGTCACAAATAACCGTTTAATGTCACATAAGACAATTTAACATCCTTCCTTTGACGACATAGTCATCATAGTTATATTTAAATGTCAATATTTGTTACCTCATTCATTATAAACCTTGTCTGTGCTCTATTTATTTGCTCATCATTGTCGTATATTTAATAAGATAACACAAAATATGTTGTTAAGTCTTTCATCTTCAATAACTTACCTTTGTAGTTTTCAGAATTTAACGCATTTTTACTTTCTTTGTTTTAGGCTTATACAAGAACGTTTTGACCGGTTAAGAACGTTCTAATCAATGTTAGTAAACCGATTGAGTGAAGTTATATTCATATTAATATAGCTATATTTCGGAAGGTTCTTAAGCAATCTCGTCAAGTTCATTAGCAATTTCTCGTAAGGTTCTAAAAATGGCGAATTTAAATAAAAAACAGAGGAAAGTTAATTACCTCCGGGGTAAACTGCAAAGAGATTTTGATTCATGAGTCGGTCAAAACAGACACTTCTGCTATGATAATTAGACCAGCAGCCACCCCATACATTGTAAAATCTTTGTAGTCCACACTTCAGTGTGTATGCTATAAATATAAACCATGATATAATAAATAAAAATCAAACATGCTACATATATGGATCACCTTATCGTACATTAACAAAACAATTATAGAATACACTTGTAATTGGAGGTAAACATATAAATGTATATAAATTATACATAGCGAGACTTGAAAAGTATATAAGAAATAAAATCTCCTATAGACAATGGTATTAGTAAGTTTTGCTGGGATTGGTTCTTGGGCACGACTATTTCTAGAACAATCATATATCGAAAACACATGATATATTGTTATGTACGGTACAGTGATTCATGATGAAAGATGACATTTCAACTATTAACTGCAAGATATAATCTCACAAGGTTATTGGTTTTTTTTCACAGAGGAAGTACGATGAAATGAATAAATTACGGTAACTTCCTAGTGTTTGAGGTGAAAATTATTCATGAGTTTTAATATCACTTTGGTATCTTTTGCTTCTCATTTATTGAAAGACATGACACTTAGCTTCACAAATGTATTTGCACAAATGTAAATTGTGCACTTATCAATCCACTCAATCCAATATGGCATCATATATTAATTTATTATCATTTGTTTTTCAACTTAAATACAGAAATCTATTATTTCTACTTCGTACTTTATTCGGCCTTTATAACTTTTTTGTTTCGAGCGTCGCTGATGAGTATTTTGTAGACAAAATGCACGTCTAGCGTACAATATTTTAATCTTAGTATCTATGATGAATTTATTGATTGATAATTTTATTTTATTGATAAAGATATAGTTTGTAACTTGTCACTAATCATCAAGTTTTAAATTTACTTACCCTTTCCTCCGTATGAAAATCTGTTATCACTGATCTTGAATCCATGGAATTTGTTGAAATAATCCAAATAACTTACTGCAGAACCATACCCAATATCATCATCGTCACCATAGACTGCATTCTTCACTACCACTGCCTTATAACCATCGTCAATGATGTTACCTTTTATTTAAGTATAAATGTTTACATTTATGTTTGTGAATGCCCTGTTCTACTCTCATTATAAGTACAAATTTCTACTAACATGCGTTTTTTTTATGTTTTTTCAGTCTTTATAGTTGGATCCAGAAACAATGCTTTACATTAATATTGAGATTTTTGAAACTGACATGACCAATCCCAGAAGTACCACTATGGATCTGTATATGATTAACTCTCCGAAATACATGAGATCTCCGCTGATTTTTGATGGGATTCGTGTTCATCAGTCTTTAATTTTCTATTTTTAGTTTTGTATACTGTTTGTCTTTTGATCGTTTTTTAATTTTTGTCATGGCATTGTGAGTTTGATTTCGTCTTATGAGTTTGAATATCCATATGGTATCTTCTTCCTTTCTTTTTTGAAACAGATTAACACAATAATTCTTTTTAAAATGATTCCTGTGCATACAAATTGTCACAAGTAATCTTTAATGACAATTTCACATCCTTGCTGCGACATCATAGTCATCATTGTAATACTTGTATGTCAATAAATCACCATTTTGTGTTGGAAAATACCTGTACTACGTCAGAAAAATGACAGTTGTTTTCCAGTCGTTCGTTTGGATGATATAACCAAGCGTTTGGTAATGTCAGTTTTTATAAACCCCTATTTTTATTTACCTTCATATTTTTGTTAAGGTATCTTTTATGTTATCTCATTCATTTGACAATCAAATAAAAATTATTTTAAAAGGGTTCGAGCTGTTTTTTGGGGGTTTTTGTTTTTGTTTTCCATAGCAAGCAATGACTCTAATCAAACCTGTTCTTTGCCTTTAGCTGCTTATTATTATAATATCAGTCAAATTATATCCAATGAAATATGGCAGAAAGCTTTCTTTCGTAAGGTTCTACTAAAGGCGAGTTCAAATCAAGAACATAACAAATTTTATTACCTCCGGGGTAATCTACAAAGAGACTTTGCTTCTTGAGTCGATCAAAACAGACACTTCTGCTATGATAAATTGACCAGCAATTACTCCATACATTGTAAAATCTTTGTTGTCCACATTTCAGTTTGTATGCTAAAAATATATTTCATAATATTGTTGATAACAATCAGCAGTGTGAATTGAGGAATTTTGGAGAACACCTCTTAATTTTTTTATATCCGGTATGCTGATTCAAGATTAAAGTAAACATTTTAACTATTTATCTGCAAGTTATATTCTCTCAAGGTTATTTGTTCACAATCGAATAACGATGCAATATATCAACTTTTATTGCCTGGTATTTAAAGTTAACATTATTATAAGACATGACATTCAGCTTCAAAAATGATTTATACAGTTTGATAATTTAAGATGGAAGGACATCAAACAACTATTTGTCCATAAAATATGTACCTTAAACAATAAAGGTTATTGGATTCCCGGTTAAATTACGGTGATGTCCTAGTGTTGTAGAAGAACAATATTAGTGGACATTACATTTAGCTTCAAATAATTGAATTTAAAAATGGAAAAAGTACAATCAGTAATTCACCTAATCTATTGACGCACTATATGTTTTTCAACGTAAATATTGAAATCTACTACTTGATAAATACATTTAATTCTATGCATTAAGATATTATTAGTAACTTATCAATAATAATCAAGTTTTGAAACTTACTCACCTATACCTCCAAATGAAAATCTACCGTTACTGATTTTGAATCCATGGTATTTATTGGAGAAATCCGAGTAACTTACAACGGATGGGATCCCGATACCGTACTCGTCACCAAGGGCTGAATGCTTCACAATCACTGTCTTAGAATTACTGTTATAGTCGTAAGCTGTTATTAAAGACAAACAGTTCAAATTTTCTGATGAAAACAAATTTTAGTTCTGTTATATTAGTGAAAACATTCTCTTGAAAAGGTAAACATTTATTCCACAAAATATAGAACAAATCAACATGTTTTGTTTGATAATTGAAATAAATTCTCAGCAGACATTGAAATAAAAAACTAGATTACGGCTTCCGCAAAAGGGTTTTTATCATATTCTATTTTGAAATGATACATTGAATCTTATTTTAAATTAAATCATGCTACATTGTATTAATATTTCAAAAGATGGTAAAGAGGAATAATTTAATATAAGCAAACAAAAAAATGTATCTAGATTTCTGTATTACCGTGGCGAGGTGAGCTTTTTAGGTCATGATCCATTCTTTACTTTTAATTAAAACGAGTAATGAAATCTATATTTCAAGAAAATTAACTTACAAATAAAGTTTTAAGTCTACAGTTTAATATTTAGCATTTGAGAAATAAATCTAAATAAGAAGATGTGATGTCGATGTTAAAGATAAACTATTTAACAATAACTCGCGAATTTACATTTACTTGTAAAATATTATTTTAAGTGGCAATCAGCATACTATATCAAACATATTACCTGCCGCAGCAACCACTAGGAAAAGCATACATATCAACCGACTCATGTTTAAGGATAAGTGATGTTGACTCTCTGGTGCACTTTATATAGTAAATGCAAACAACAATATGTTACCATGTTGCATGTAAAAGTAATGTTGTACGGTTTTGTTTTCTTTTCTTACATAATTATAATATTTAATCTACAGTTAATACTTTGATGTTATGGAAAAAAACATGATTTGTTTCCCACTTCATTAGAATTTTGGATACTTTATGTTGTCTAATTCTTTATACAACAGTTTTTACCAGTTTGATATTTTCTATAGACCACACATTGAGTTGTGTCATGGGATTTTCCACCATATCCATTGGAAACATTGCACTCGACATTTTCCTTGAAATAATGAAACTGTCAGATTGCACTACTTTATCCTGTTGAGTACATAAAACTGAGAATGGAAATGGGGAATGTGTCAAAGAGACAACAACCCGACCATAGAGCAGACAACAGCCGAAGGCCACCAATGCAGGTCTTCAATGCAGCGAGAAACTCCCGCACACGAAGACGTCCTTCAGCTGGCCCCTAAACAAATATGTATACTAGTTCAGTGATAATGGACATCATACTTAACTCCAAATTATACACAAGAAACTAAAATTAAAAATGATACAAGACTAACAAAGGCCAGAGGCTCCTGACTTGGGACAGGCGCAAAAATGCGGCGAGGTTAAACATTCTTTATTCACTCTTATTTGTTAAATTTTAGAATTGAAAATGAAAGTTTTTTTTGAGTGGGTAAATATCTACGATGTATTAGGGTAGACTTTTTATGATTAGAACTATAGAATTGTAAACATTGAGGGAAGCAAATACAGGTTACAATTAACCACTAACTTAATCTAGCATTCCGTTCATCGTTTTATAAAGCAAATTTTGGTCAGTTGTCGTATAATAAACGTTTAAAAAAATCAATATTTTACTTTGTGGTCTCACAAATCATTTGTAGGTGCTTGAATTTTTGTTTCATAGTCTTGCTTTCCTAATAAATCTTACGTACTTTTGAGAGAAGATATAGTTACATTTTTGGCTATTCAATCGTTTTATCGTTTTTTATATATTTTGCGGTTTTTCAATGATTTGCCTACCTTAGATACGACGACTTTTGTATTGTAGTCCTGTCATGTAATGTTGTCATTTTAATGTTATATTTAACATTGCCATAAAAGCGGGAGGTTTGGCTAGCCACAAAACCAGGTTCAACCCACCATTTTTTTCTAAAAATGTCCTGTACCAAGTCAGGAAAATGGCCATTGTTATATTATAGGTCGTTTCTGTGTGTGTTACATTTTAATGTTGTGTTTCTGTTGTGTCGTAGTTCTCCTCTTATATTTGATGTGTTTCCCTCAGTTTTAGTTTGTAACCCGGATTTGATTTTTTCTCAATCGATTTATGAATTTCGAACAGCGGTATACTACTGTTGCCTTTATTTAGTATGACATTTTAGTTTAGTAAAAGAGTTCAATGTAGTCAGCGTACTGGTGTTTTTATTTTTGCACTATAGGTGTCACACTGAGAGCAGGAACTGATAAAGCCAGTTTTTTTAAAGTTGCCAAGTATAGATAATGTTCAACATAGACTTCATGAAGGACATTATATCATCTGAAATAGCATATGTTGTATTATTATCAGACATGACAACCAACTCGGATATGTCACTTTCATGCCATCACTCTAATGAGAATAATAATAATCTTCGTACACAGTCGTGGAAAATTTAACAACAAGACATATTGAGCTTTAATGGTTCTAAACAACACACTAGTATTTCTAATTTTTTTAAATGTAAATCAAAGTCTGGTCAATTCACTCTAATTTAACTAAAAAATCTTAGTTCACTAGGATGTTCAATGATCTGAATTGTAAATCAACTTTACGGATTTAAGCACAATCTAAGCGGATTGGTATATGTTGATGAATCGAAAGGCAGGCTAAAAAAACTTGTAACAGGTAGTTGTAAACAAAAGGAAAAGGGAACTGCGACACCCAATGACGGGAGTGACAAAATTGATTGTTATCGAATTATATATAGTCGCTCTCCTTCGGCAAAAAGGTTTTGACGCATCAATTTGTCAAAAGTTCTGTCGATTACTAGTACCTCTTATATCTATACGACACCTATTGCGAATAAAATTTTCAAATACAAACGTGCTGCAGGATCTCAATATTGATGACTTCAAGTCTAAACGTTCTGATTTCACCTGTGCTAGTTTCTCATTAATATATTATCCAGCTGGTCACATTATTACTGATGACCTAAACATTGTCAACAACGATTCTTTGCAACAGGTGTTAACCAATTTGCAAAGAGTCGAAACACCGTGAGCATCAAGAAAATTCATAAATATAAATAATAGCTTTTAAATACTTATGAATTCAATCAAGCATGATAAAAAAACAAGGGTTAAACATGAAGAGGAAGACAAAATACTTTGTCTGTGTAGGTTCAATCTGTGAGGTCGTTAATTCAAATCAGATCAGAAAACTTAATTGGTTTATGAACACTTATGTTATATGCTACATTTATCTTTAAAGGCCCAAATATTTGCTCAATTGCTGTCTTAAATTCACTTGTTGTTGTTTATGTAGACAAACCACAAATTAATATCTGTTCTGTGTTCCTTTGGAAATTCAACAGTGGACTTCAATGTATTGGATACTCAATTATATAAATGTCCTTTTAAACGAAATCATATTTATGCAGGGCCTGAAAAATGCTTCATCAAACCAATTTCCAAGTTGTTTACAGTTGTTTATTCAACAATAAAACCCGGACATCAAAGTAACTCTGACACTTCAGACTCTAGTGGCTAGATTAATCAGATGAAGATGTTGGAAAAATGCAAAGCCCCTTTTGAGTACATGCAATCTGGGTCTCTATCCTCGTGCAACAATTTAAAACATTTGACTTCTCTATCGGTGACCAAATTGTTGGTACTCAAAGCTCTTTGTCTTCGATTCAAACTGTTTTGTTTCGAACGTAACTGATAGGTCTGGTATAGACAAATGCGCATTTGGCGTTACAAACATATAAGCTCGTAATTTTGTTCATATTAGCATTCCTCATTCTAAACTTAAAAACATATTAAAAAAAAAGTTTGTTTGATAGAAAGAAAATGGCCAACGTAGATACAAACATCTTTTTTAAGGGGTTGATCAGACTTCGTAAAAACCACTCTGATTCAAATAAAAAAAAATCATCAAGATGTTCTTATATTTGGTTTGACAACAAATAAGTTACGTTTGCAGAACGTGTTTTCAGAAGACAATCGAAAAACACTATTCTTCTCTTCTTGTGGACTTTTTCTTTATATTATGTGTTGCAGACTTCATATATGAGTTCTCAGTGATAATCAATTCTTAACCTACACTACTGTAACAACAGCCCATGAAAAGGCCGTGAAATGTCTGTGAAATATCACAGGGCCGTGAAAACCCCGTGAAAATACCCCGTGACTTTCGTAAAAAATATTTGATGTTAGAAAAAGACCGTGAAATTTCAATATCCCGTGAAAAGGCCGGGATAATTTGTCCTTTCATGCTTAATAAAAAATATCACGTCCTTTTCACTGGTTGTTGAAACCAGTGAAAAGGCCGTGATATTTTTTCATGTCAATTGTTTCTTATCCTAATTCAGATTTAAAACATTCCATGTGATTATTGTAATATGGTCTAATTATTTCCACTCACATTTTTCTAAATATCCTATAAACTTTTCATTATAAATATATGTCTGTTTAAATATTAGTATATGCAATACTACTGTACAGGGCTGACTTTTAAATGGAACCATTCATTGTTATAATTAATGACTTTGTGCCAATAAATATTTTGTATTTAAAGAAAAGTATTTTGGTTCTCGTCTGTACATTATTATAAACAATGTAAACATTAATTTTAATTGGAACCGAAACATGTAAAAACGAGAACTTCCCGGAATATCAGACCGTATCTGGATTCGTGTTTCTTTTAAAGTAATTGTAACATTTCCGCAATTTTGGAAACTTGAAAGACGCCGAAGGTCGATTTATATTTACTTTATAGATGCAAGACGAGTGACAGCAAGTTTGAGGTAAGCAGGGTTCGACATTAACTTTCATACCAGCTTGTCCAGTTGGGCAAGTGCCCTATTACTTTTACTTGTCCGAAAGTGAAATCTACATGCCCAAACTTTTATATGCAAGGGTTGATTGTTGTGCCACGATGGCAGCAACTAGACTTGACCACTGAGATACTATGAGGCATATATGAGCCGAGGAGGGAGGGAAAAGATCGAGGAATATACGGGAATTGGATCATTTACATAGATATACTTATTTCATAATAATTTATCTAAGAAATGCCATTTCAAAAAACCCTTCTTAATAAACTGACAACAACTGATAAATTTGTTAAAGTTTAATTTCATTTTCTCTTTCAAGCTTTTATGTTTTCCATCTTCATGATCTTAGGGAAATACACATCCGATGTCAAATTCTAAAGTTAGAACAACGAAAATAGACCTCCGATTTCCATTGATCGGTGGGAATAACACGTGCGTCGGAAACGCCAGAGTGGTGTCCCGATTGATAACGATAATGACGAAGCAAAGCCGCGGCCGCCTGATTGGCCAATATTTTTAAACGTGATCTATTTTTGGTAAAATGGGGAATTCAGTGCGAACAAATGACGAAATAAAAGCATTGAAGGAGGGTTAAGACCACTTTACTCGACCGTGTGGTGTTATCACTGAGTAATCTATGGACAAAACAACAGACACTATTGATTTTGTGAAATTTTAATCATATAACAGGACCAAGATGATGTTTTTACTTGTCCGAATACGGCATTAACTTGCCCCGGGCAATCGTACAACCGTAAGTGTCGGACCCTGGTAAGTTAAGTTATTACTGTTTTATCCTTTTATGCATCATATCACCAAAATGTTGATGACGTTTGTGAGCATTTCTATTGAACTGATTTTCACTGAATTTGCAGAAACCGCGCAAACATGCATGTGATATATTCACTTATATT